AAGAATCAGAATGCTGATAAATTCTCATGAATAATTTCAATTCATATAGTTTTAACAGAAGAAATAGAAGAAGAAGAAGAACTAATAGCTAATTCTTGATTGATTCAAATACATTTTTTAACCCTAAATCTACTAGAATGTCAAACTAAATAGCAATAAAATGGATTAATAAATAATCACCAATATAGAAAGAATTTATACTCTTGTAATAAAACTGATTATTATTCGCACTGGTATTGCATTTCTGTTTCCAATATGTAAATTTTTATAGAATTATATATCTTCTCCTAATGAATATACTTTGTGTAAATACAATAATTATTATCAAAAATTTTTTGAATATGTCAAAGAAAAATATTGTCAACAAAATGAATATTCAGATGAAAGTTTATATTTTCAAAAAAATGATGATAAATCAGGATATTATTCAAGTCAAGAAGATTTTGAGTCTATACTAAATAGAAAAGAAAAAGATTAGGAATAAGATATATATAATATATATCTTTAAGCTGCAGAATTTAAACAAATAACTATTAAACAAATGCAAAATCACTCATTAGTAAAAGTAAAACAAGATTATTCTATTAATTGCATATTTTATAAAAAAATTATTACTATAAATCTTGAATATGATTGCATTGTTAGATATAAACTTGATTAAATCTATCCTGAAATGATTTCTGAAACCTTGATGAATGAAATCTTTTGGACTATTTCTGAAAAAGTACAATAATATGATGAAGCTTATCATGCTGCAGTAGAATTATTACAACTACTTTTTAACTCTCAAACTTCTAACGAATTGACTGAAGATAAATTAAATGAATTGTTTAACCCTTATAGACTACTATAACTCTAGTTATTGCATCTAATTTTAATGAAACTCAAAGTCATGTATCTACCCCTAAATTAGATTTTTAAATATTATTACCTTCTTATCACTCTCAAATTAATTATTTTAATATTATAATTATATTTTATTTTATATTTTATATTGTAACAATTTAAAGAATTAGCACTTAGTTGAATAATGCTAGTGAATAAAAATCTTAAGTTTACAGTATTTTAATTGAGTGAAAATGAAAGTATAAACATTGTGACTTACAGCTCAATTATTTATAATGGATATACAATAATACTTCAAACTTTAATAATATTTAAATTATAATAAGTTTTCTAATAACATTTAATCTAATAAAAATAAGAAAAAATTTACGAGTATGACTAAATATTTTACAATTCAGAATATAAATTTATATCATTTTGATTGAAGAAAATCTAGACATTTATTACAAATTCTCAAAAGACATAATTAGAACCTGTTCTTTACATGATGCATAATAATCCTATAGCTAAATATTTTGAACAAGAAATTATATTCAACAAAATTAAAACTTAATATTATTAGCCTTAGATGTATAAGAATATTAAAGAATATGTAAAAATCTATGATTCTTATTAACGAAGAGGAAGATTAAGCAAAAATAACAAATTACATTCTATACCTTCTCATAGTCCTTTTTATTAGGTTAAAATTAATTTTATCAGTTCTTTACTAATAACCCTTAAAAAAAATAGATATATTATTATAGCTGTAAATATGTTTACTAAATGGCTAAAAGCAAGAGCTATTACAAAAACTACTGCTATTTAAGTTACTTTATTTGTTTATAAAAAAATTATTTGTAGACATAAATATCTTATGAAAATTTTATTTGATAAAGAAATCCATTTTAATAATGCTATAATAAAAGAATTAATGAAAAAATTTGAAATTAAACATCATAATTCAACATATATCATCTTCAGATGAATAGACAAGTTGAAATATTTAATAAAATATTGAAAAAATCTTTAGTAAAAATCATATAAGAAACAAATTGAATGAGATCTATATATAGCCCTTGTGTTATTTGCTTATTGTATTGCTTAACAATTTATTACTAAATTGATTTCATTTTATTATTATATAAATGAGAAGTGAAATTACCTCTTGATGATTATACTGATTAAGAAAATAAAAATTTGATAGACTGATTTTGACAAATTATAGAAAAGCTTTTAAATATTAGAGAAAAGGCTAAACAGGCAATGATCAAAGTAAAAATAAACAAAAGATAGCATATGATAAATATTTAACTAAGCTAATATTATTTGACATAGAATAAAAAATTTTATACTTTAATGCTATACAAATTAATTAGTTTCAGAAAAACTAGATCCAAAATAGAAAGGACCATATAGGATTCATAAGATCTTGATAATGAATACTACCATTTTAAAAAAAAAGATGGATACCTTCTTACCAAATCAGTAAATGGTAATCTACTTAAAAGTTACTTTAATTGATGGTCATAAGAATTACAAATAATGATCAATTAAAAGAAAATTGTATAAATATATTTAAAATTTGAAAAAATCTAAGTAAAATAAAATGGATGTTATTTATAAAGATACATTTAATTAAAATTAATGCAATTTAAATATTTTCTTATCAAACTACTGATAATGCTAAAATAAAAATAGGAATTCTTTAACGTTTTTATCAATAATACTATAACAGGAGACATCTAATTAAAATGTTAATCTATATGTACTATATGGGAGAACTCTTAGATACTTTGAAAGAAGTAGACTATAAGTAAGTTAAATTAATAATGATGTTTTATCAACAAAAAATAGCCAATAAGATATATATAATATTTATAGATATAAGAGTTGAACAACTCTTACAAACTAAAATACTGATCATAACTTAAATTTAAAAGACAACTAAAGCATAAATTTAAGATCTTATTTTGAAAGTAAAATTCTTTCTTACTATTATATTCAAAATTTAAGTTAAAGGATGATTATTAGTATTAAAAATGAATGTGATTATGAATATAGAAAATATCACGTGAGAACCATCAGATAATAAAGTGCAGTAATGATCTATAATCACTATACCAGGTGAATTAAAAAAATATTAAAAATCTATATAATTTACCTGATCAACTGAAATCTATCTGATTCTTCTAATATTGCAAATTCTAATTATACTTGTAATAATACATAATTATTTATTCTAAAATGTCTTCATTATATTTACTTATTTCATTATTTTATTTCATATTTCATATTTTATTTTATTATCTTTTATTATTACTTTATAACTGAAGTTTACTAAAATAGTTAATTTATAGCATAACAATTAGTTAGCTATAGCAAATTAATTTTGTATAAATAGAATAGCCTTTTGCTTAAGTTGTAAATTAACTCCTTTGTAAGTTTTATATGAGTTTCAAGTTATAAATAAAGGAATCAATTTAAATATATACAAATTTACTTTTTCCTTCAACATTGTATCTTATCTAAAATTTATTGTGATACTCTACAGTAACTTGCTATTAAGTTCATTATTACGAGTTTGACTAATATATCTTAAATTCTAAGACGTGATAAATTGCTGAGTTGATTCAAGTATAACAGATACCTGTAGGACTTAGAGAAAATCCTAAGGTCAAAAACTCTAATGTATAGAATCAACTGCTGCAGCCTTTCAACTTAGACGTTAAGATAATCAAAAATGAACCCAGTGATAGCATGAAGTATATTTGATGACATAGAATTATTAATTAGAAATAGCAATAGGTTTGCGATAAAAAGTCTTTTTGTACAAATTTAATGGTAAGATTAGTTAATTTCAAGAGGGTTGAATATAATAGCAACTTATATAAACTTCATTAATAAATAAATCAAATTAAATTTATCACAATATATTTTATTTTATTATTAAAAATTATAGTCATAACGCTGGTGATGTCACCATTTACCACCAAAAATTCTACCCTACGTGACATTTGGCCGGGATTTACGGCATTAAGAAATTAACAATGTGACGAATAAAAGGTAACGAATATGATTTCGCATCCAAAATGGAAAACGCTGGGGAAACAGATGATCACCACCGGAGATGAATAAAAAAAAAATAAAAATAAAAAATAAAAAATAAATTTATAAAATAAAATAATAATTATATTAAAAAAAATAAAATAAAATACATAGCCTGCCTACTTAGCATTTTCGGCTTTAACCTTGCCATTTTCGGCCTTAATCTCGGCATTTTCGGCCAGGAGCTCGATGACGCGTTGTTACAATGAATCAAGTTCGGATTGCCATGTTCGATAAAAACTTTCATATAGGACGCGATTTATTTAAATGCATTTTACTTTAGATCTCACATTTTTTATTCACAATACGTCTCCATATCCCACGAAAAATATATTTAATACAATTTACCGAATTTCCGACTTGAATTCTATATTGATGCAGTAATAAATTACATGATCTTGCTTGTAATTTACAGGCGAAATGATGTTTCTACATTAATTCTAAACTACCTATACTAACATAATTCGGCTTCACTCGTCCCAATCATAGTTATTCTGAATAAAATAACTTGGTCGTCAATTAAGACATGCATTGTCAGAAAGTAAAATTCACCGACATTTTAAGTTGTTTGCATTCAGTAATGCTAGTAAGATCTGTACGAAAAAATGGACATTAGTTTGCAAGCTTCGAAATCGTTTTCTTGTAAATGCTTCGAAAAAAAAATATATTTCATTCATAACTGAATCGCGTAATATCTAGTTAGAGCTTTCAATATTTCTTGTCAACGCTTCTTTCAAACTGCGATACGCCAGTTCCTTTTAAAAGAATTCATACATTTAGGTTCAATACTGAAATCACAGAGTTACCGCGTTGTGCAAAAAGCCACACTAGTCAAATACGGTCGGTCAATCGTAATTGATCACGTTTTTATAATAAAGCAAGATCATTTTTTCGCGTTCTGATAAATTACCTATTTTATAATTACTCCACGAGTTATTCCTTAAAATTGATTTTTAAGAGTCAATCTAATTATTGATCACGATGTAAGAAAAGTTTATAAATACACCCTCAAATAACTCTCTCAAACTAAATCAACATAAATCAAACTATTGAATTCTTTACTAATAATGTCTTCCTTTTTTCATTTTGTTAACCGTCAATTACATGACAAAAAAAATATTTTAAGATTTTTATTTATATTCTTGACGTTGCACCTTTGTTTTTATTTTTACTTCTTTTCAGTACCAATTACAATCTCGTTACCTTCTCCCCACGCCTCTTCCGAAGATGATACCGATTATGATTATTTCTCCCCCTTACACATTATAGTATGAGCATATTTGTTGTTTTTGATTATTGCTCGATTAAATTTCTAATCACATTCTCACTATTTTTAGGGTTACATTTTTGGTTCCATTTGGATTATAGATTTCGGTCTCGCTTGTAGTCGAAGTGTTTATAATGAGAGTCGACTCATCAAAACCATAGAAAGCGGCACAAAACTTAAAACTAATATTTCAGAAGATGAGTTCATTCCTCGATCAATAATTCTAAATCAGCTCAAAGAAATTCTTCAACCGACCAAATATCATTCATCTTATCATATGATTTGTGGTGAATTTGGAACTGGGAAAACTCTACTAATAAAAATGGCATCAATAGAAGTTGGACATGGCATAATTTATGTTGATGTTCCTTCTGATATTAAAGATTTTGGAACGGCATTTGGGGAAGCACTAAATTTTGCATTTGAGGGGGATATAACTCTTACAAGACAACTGATACGAAAAATTGGTAGTGGTACTACTAATGGTGAGTTTATTATTACTGCATTTCCATAACAATCAACATTTTTGACCCTAATTTTTTTTGGTAGAAGAATCTAATATTCCTAAGTGGAAGAGAGCTTTGAGTGCTTTTAAACGTATTGCTAAAGTGTATAAAGCCAAACATAACAAACCTCCAGTAATTATTTATGATAATGTTAGCAGATTGGCTCGTATGGATCCAGATATCCTTTACGTTCTACAAAATGATGCAAAGGATAATGCAGATAATAGGAGTTATATTGCTGTGTTTGTTTATAGTGAAGGAGTTGTCCCAAAATTAATGATGTGTAAGTATTCTATTTTTGCTCTTGAGGGAAAACTGACTTACAAATCGTGATTCTTATTTTAGCTCGAAGTGCCTGGTCACGAGCAATAACGCCACCAATGGAAATCAGTGACATTAGCGAAGAAGAATCAATGAAATACTTGATTGAGAAGCGTAAGATCGATGAAGAAATGGCAAAAGAATTATATCAATTGGTTGGTGGTCGCATTTTAGATTTGAAGACTATTGCAAATGATATTTTAGCTGAACGATCCATTGAAGGTAGGAATTAGCTTTATTATTTTGCAATCAAATTTATACAATTCTGCTTTGCCTAATCCTTTTTTCATAGATATCAAGAAGCAAAAATTAATTGAAATTGGTCAGAAATTTGATTCAACAAAACTGCTTCAAGGACAAAAATATTATGAAGCGGGAAAACGGGTAATTAATGCTTTGCTGGATTCAAAAGAGATTAGCATTAATACATTTAAAAGAATTTTCAAGAATAATGAAAAAGAATACAGTGAAGTCTTAGAAAATAACGTGTTTACATACCATCCATCATGCAATACTGTGAGTTTTCAGTCTCGATCAATAGAATTTTACATTCGGGAAAACTCTAATATATTCATTGATTTATTTGATCTCGGCCCCACTGATGATTTCAAGCGTTAACCTCCAAATAATATAATTCGAAAATCAAAAATGTGAAACAATTGGAATCGATCATCCCAAAAATAGGAAAAGAAAAACTATACTACAATTAATAATATTATAATAATAAAGCTTTTTTTAAGTTTTACTGCTAAAAAATAAATTTGTTTTTTTTTTCGATAAAAATAAAACGTTGTTTATTCCAATGTATAAAACTAAAGCACAAATTAAGGGAAAATAGCGAAATATATGACATGCTTCAAGGGAGGAAGTACACAGATCCTAGACCATTAATGCGAGTTCTGTGTCATATTACTTCTTGCTTGCATTCCCAGAAAATTTCTATAGCTAATTTCTAACTCGCAAGATTCTCACACCATCTATAAAAATCAAGATTTTCCGAAATAAATTATTCAAACTATTACCCATATTTGTCTATCTATGTTTCTCCCACCAATACAGACAATAAAAGAGAATTTTTCGATATAAAATAACTTCGAAACTACAGCATAAATCCCAGAAATTAGCAACTGAGGTAAAGAAAATAAGCAATATTTCCAATTCATGTTATAATCGATTTTTTTTTATGATATTGCAAATAAAAATTTTAGCCTACTACAGTCTATATATTTCCTACTTAGAGAAGTAAAAGTTTTATCTTTTTGCTCTCTTGTAACATTTTTTCCTACCGACAATATCACACGTTTTTTGACACTAAAATTTAAGATTCTTTTTCTATTAACTTTCAAACCAATAAATAAGTATCCAACTTCTTTATTTTTAGCAAGTCTTTCAGTGGAATCACTTTAAGAATAACATACAATAGTAATATTTTGCGGAAAATAAGTTATTATTATTTTTTATATAATGAAATATTAAGGAATTACATGTACTAAAAGTCAAATTCAACTACATTTAAATAAAAAAGATAATACATTTACATTTCTATTTACTATGTTTATGGTGAGACACATATTGATTAATTTGATACTTATCCCATTCATCTCCTAATGCTTCTCCAACTTGATCTATTTGTTTATCAGTTGGATACTCAAAATAAGTCACTAATAGTTCTAAAAGCTTCTTTTCTTCAGATTGAATTTTTAGGTGGCAGAGCATTTTCATATAGAATTATTACTTGCAGTATCAAATTAGTTAGTATCTGTTGATCAGAAATAGCTTGATTAGAAGTTTCTGCATTTGAATATAATACCAATCATGTTGATGTAACATTTGGGAAGTTAATTGTTGTTTATTCTTTGAATTTTGGTCAGTAAGCTTTTACCTTGTAATTCCTAACTTTCTTCTTTCAACTCTATTACTTTTTTTGTACTAAAATAACATCTTGTAGAAAAATTACCTCTATTCTTGAAATTCTATCAAGAAAACAGTTTTCAAAATACCTAATGTTAGCTGTCGTAATCTAATTGGAAGAAGTAGTATTCTATAAGAGATTTTGATAATGATTATAATCATCAGAATATTCAAATACTGATAAAGTTCATTAACTAGATTCCATATGGCTGTTTTACAGGTATTTACAGCTCTTTGTCTAATTGATTGCAAGGATCATTAAAATACTCTTGATAATAAGATTCCTATATGATCTCGTTTACTTTAGGCAACTTTAACTTGTAATTTTAACTTATTATCATCAATTATATTTCTGATAATATTCTATTTGATAAATTAACTTCAAATGTTTCAAATGCTTCGTCAAATGTAAAGTAATAATCTTTCTGTTTTTATTATTATCAATTTTAACTAACGAAACACATTATAATTTTTCTTTAAGTTTTGGATATTAAGCTAGCATTCCAAGATATTGAGTAACTGATACCAAATAATATGATTTCTTATTAATGTATATAAACCAGCAAAATAAGCCAAGGCATTTTTCTGCAATTTATAATTACCAACACAGATTCCTACATGATGTGCTTTGAAAATTAATGCCCATTTATAATAAAAATATCATATTCATAAAATACTATTAGTATCACTATTTGAATCTATTATATGTTAGACCTGTTTATTTCTAATCAGTCAGTTTTTTGGTCAGTTTTGTCCTACCCAAATTTGACGAATAAATCATCTTATTTAAGTTTGTAATTTTAGCTGCAATAGTTTGTAATTAAATTTAACTTACGCATAAATAATGAATAATAATTCTTTTAAATTGTATAATATTAAATGAATACTAGTTTATACAATTTATCATATCTTTTAATAAGAAAGAATTACAAGAAGTATTAGAAAGTTGTATTATTAAGAAAATAATATGTGAATTTAATAAAGAGGATTTCACAGATTCAAATGAAGACAATAATGATGAAATTTTTATTCTTGGCTTACTAGTTTTAAATGAGATTCATTATATTAAACCACATGTTATGATGGGTAAAATTTTAGATAGATTTAATTGGTAGAATATGAAGTCAATTTTATTGCCATATAGATCTTCTAAAGATTATTTTATCTATTTTATTGCCATCAATCAATTATATAAATCCTTAAATATCAATTTTATTGCCTTTGATAATCACGTAGATCATAAATATTTATTTAATTACCTGCAAATCTAGCAATTTTATTGACACAGCAACTTTATTGCCTAGCAAAATGGTAACTTTATTTCCTTTGATATATTTGGTTTAGTTTATTTTATTATTTATTCAACATGTATAAATATCTCTGTATTTTTTTTGAGTCTCAGCACTGATAAGATAATAATCTTTTAGGTATGAACTTATATATTATATCAATAAAGAAGTATAATTAACAAAGTATAAAACTTATCCTTCGCAAACCCTTTAGAACTTTATAAATTATCTGTAATTCTTTACATTTGTGTAATCCCTTTAATTATTGTTAGTAAACTTATTATATAATATTGTATTGATTCACTATATTGACTTAGAGTCTCTAAAGCATAATCTCTAAAATATCTTTGAGTTATCTTTGTGTTTATTTGTGTTTATCTCACGTGTTTATTATTAAGAATAATTCTTCGACGTTATTGTGAATCCTCACTCATGATTCTTTGAGTAATTGTCTTAGTTTTATTTATCCCTTTTAAGATTTTATTTGAAGTTACAAATCTAATGTAACAATATATATAATATATTAAAATTATAAAGTTGGTATTATAATATTCTACTTACTTATAATGATATAAGATTTAAAAAAATAATAAGAATGCTTTCTAAAAGTTTTAAATCTCTAATTAATTTACTTAAAAATCATCCAATTTTTGAATCTGGTATTAATAAATTACAAGCTCTTACAGAATTTTAATTGGCTATATTTTTGAAAAGATTGAAAACTAAAGAAAACATATTTGTAATATATTTATATTAAGAATAGCTAAGGAAACTATAATTTTATATTATAATCATATAATGAAAGCAATTATTTTCAATAAAGAAAAGTATATTAAGTGGTCAATAACAGATCAAGTAAGAAACTTTATACATAAGAGTTTAAAGCAATTGGTGATATTAAAGAAATTATTAAAGTAATAAATAGTACTTATTTTATTCTTCAAAATGCTTCACAAAAAAGATAAAGAATTTTACTTTACAAGAAAAAAGAGATATGCTTTATATTGTTAAGAAATAGTTAATTTTAGAGGTATTTTCATCAGTTATGATATTAATTGACCTGGTAGTATCTATAATATAAAAGTATATTATTATTTTTCTTTTTATTTAAATAAATCTTTTCTTATTAAAAATAATAATTTTTTAATTGATAATAGTGTATACCCTTTGTTCCTATTTTTAATAAAACCTTACAATAGATCTAATAATGAACAAAAAAGATTTAACCAAATTTTTTCATCACATCATATTATAGTAGAACATTTATTTGGTAGATTAAAAAATAGATTTATAGGAATAAGAGAAATATCTGTTAAAAAAATTTCAATTGCAATCAATTTAATTGATTATGTTATTATTTTACACAATTATTTAGAATTAGCTAATGATATATAGAAAGAATAAAATGATGACAACTTTACTGATGATAGTGAATTAAATGATTATAATAATAATTGTGATAAATTAAAAAGAGCTGGAAAAGTGAAACGAGATGAATTACGAGAAAATTATTTATATCATTAGAATAATTAACAATTATTAATAAATATAAAGAAAATTTAAGTTTTATCATTATTTCTTATTATTTATTATTATTTATTATTATTAACTATTATTATTACTATTATTATTAATTATTATTATAGTCCAGTGCAAAAATGTAGATACACCAATATATTTATAGTAAGAAAATAAATTTTTAAATTTAATATAAACATTTAAACATTTTTATTTATTATATAGGTATTGAGAAATATTTTTAATATAAGTTTTATAAAAATATAAAATTTCTATAAAAAATTTTATTAATCATCAATTTCTTCAATTTCAGAATCTTCATAATCACTTTCAGCCAATAACATATCATCGCTTGATTCTTTATATTCTATGGCTTTATCAAGTGCTTTTTTCCAAAATCTAACAATAACTTTAGTGGTAACCTTTTCATTAAAGGCATGCAATAATTTGTCTCTAATAGCTAAAAGATTTGGGTGAGAACCGGACCTGGCAATTTCACCTTTAACAGTTGATCAAACTCCTTCGATTAGTTGGAGTTCATAATAATAAGGCAGAGTGTAAAATAAATTGTGATCATGTTCTCTAGCTATCTTAACACACTTAAAAGGTATATTTGCTTTATTTTGTTTTACTAACTCATATAATTCTGCTTTGGTAGAATTTTTTAGAATATCAATACTAGCTAAAGTTAACTAAGCAATTAATGTATTCTTTCTCGAGTTTGATGTTGGCACTTGTTCAACTCGACATTTGTGATATTGAGCACTATCTATATGAATATTTATTAGCCCATAGCATTTCTTAATATTAGCACAGAGTTTATCAAAATGGTCTTCTAATATTTTAGCTGTAAAATTCCCATGATAGTCAATATGATCTATTGCAATATTGGAATTTTGAATAACTTTAGGAATATTATCTCAGGCATCAGCATTTGCTCGTTTTCTCCCTCTTAATGAAGGTAGTTTTATTGATGGATCCCATATAAGAAGTGAATTAGGAACAACTTCTCCAAAAAGCTTATTAGTATTACTATTACGTATTACAATTATCACTTCAAAAATAACAATTAAGGGATCACGTCCTGGTGAAGATACTACCCCATAACTTGGCATCCAAGTATAATTTGTAGTATGGTACAAATGACAATATGATTCATCCAAAAAAACTTCTGGTCTAGTCAGAACTTTGTTATTTTCTTGTAAGTTTTTAAACTGATGTCATAAATAACGATTACGAAAAGCAACATTTGCTGGTGATTCATGCAATATATTTCGACGCTCATCACGACCATAATAATATCCCAATTTATAAAGTAAATAAAGTAACTGCTATTTTGATAATTTATAGCCATTTTCTTCAAGCTTTTGTCGTAATATTTGTGTTGAAAGTAAAATACCAGAGGTGTTTATGAATATAATAAAACTTCGTAAATTTCAGGAATATTATGGTCAAATGTATTTTTTGGCTGACCTAGGATTTTTTGTATTTGAAATTCTCTATTGTTTTTTTTATTTTGTTCAGTAACTACTTGTGTAACTGTAACTTTCCTAATACCAAGAACGCAGTAACTTCTTTGCGTAATGATAAGTCATGATGTTGCTTTTAGCATTATCGAACCTTTAAAAATATTGATGGACGTTAAAAACCATCTTTCGTTCATTATCAGTTAACAAACTTTCGTCTCTAATTAAATCATCTATGAGAAAAAAAAAAGTTTGAAGTTAGTAAGCTATTTAAACTTCGAACACAATCTAACCTTTCACATCATTTGTATACTTAAATGACATAATTGTTAGATTTTATATCAGATGAGAAAATTAGGTAATGATTTTTGTGTATCAATCTTTTTACACCGGACCATACTAACTATTATTACTATTATTACTAACTATTATTATTATTTATTACATTGCTTTAACTGTAAATCTAATTTTTTCATTGTTAATTTATGCAGCATCTTTGATTGTTCTTGCTCATATTCCTATTTTTGTTTCTCAACTTCTAACTTTTATAATTGAAGTTTAAAATTATTATTTATTCTTTTTCATTCTAATTCTAATCTTTATTCAGAGATTTTAATTTTTGTTTCACTGATGCTATTCATAACTTCAAATCAAAATTCAATATTATTTTTTTTTTTAATTATCTTTCTATTATTTTTCTTACTCTTCATATTTTGATTATTATCTATTTTATTACTAATATAATCTGATTTTTCATTTAAAAGATATAAAGGTGAAATATTTTCACAATATCTGAAAATTTTATCCATAATATCTATCCATTTCCAGTCAACTTATCTTGATTCACTTAGATTGTTTTTTACTTCACTTTGCTATACTTTACCAAGAGTCTATTCAATCACCTTTTAATACTTTTTGTAGTTTTTAATTTAATAATATCTCTGGAAACTAAAGCATAAAGTTCAAACTTTTTTCCCTTTTGATATTTATTGAAATTATCTTTCAGATAAATCAATAGTTTATATATTTCATTTAAAGCTCTGAATGGTTCAGATTAATTTGAAGATTTTTCAGATCAGTTTAGTTCAGATTTAGTTTCAGATTGCATAAAAATCAATCTGAAAATTTTCAATTCAGCTCAGATTTTTTTCAGATTATAATTCTAATCTGAACTGAAAAAAATCTGAACTGAACTGATAATTTTAGATTAATTTAAAAGTTTAGTTCAATTATATGTGAAACTCTTGAAAGATTGTAAAATTTGCAAATTCTTTAAAACTCTTAGAGAATCACAATTTTTTGCAATTTTTCGCAAAAAAATTGCAAAAATTTTGAAGAATTGCAATTTTTTGCAATTTTTCTAAAATTTCACAAATATATTGTGAAACTTTTGGAAAGTCGCAAAAAATTATAATTTTTCTTCAAATTTCACAAAAAATCATAAAATCCTTAAAGAATTGTCGATTTCTCTTAGTATTTCACAAAAAAATATTGCAAAATTCTTAAAGTTGCAAAAAAATGTGATTTCTCTTCGAATTTCACAAAAAAATGTGAAAATCTTGAAGAATCACAAAATTTTGTGATTACTCATCAAATTTTGTTAATTTTCACGAACTTCAAAGAGAAATTTGCGATTTTTTGCAATTCTTCTAGAGTTTCGCATATAAATTGCAGATTCCTTATATAATTGAACTGTAATTTTAGATTAATCTAAAAATTTCAGTTTAGTTCAAATTTTTATCAGTCTGCAGTTTAGTTTAGATTCAGATTGGCATTTAATCCAGACTGAACTGAACTGTTCAGAGCTTTAGTTTCGTCATCACTCTATTTATCAATAGTTTAAGGTTAATCAACAGAAATTTTTCACTTTTTTTTTTTTATCTTAATTTCTTCACTTATTTTACCAAAATACTTAATTATAAAAGCTGAGATTTTATCCTAACCATTAAGTTTTCTTGATCAAAATTCTCTTGATATTTGGAATCAAATTCAAAGTTAACATTATGTAATATAGATAAGGGACGAAATCCCTTAATAACAGTTGAAACTTAAACGAAACTATATTAAAATCATAATAAGGGATACAATGAAATCCATTCGATACGACGAAAGCCAAAACTGTCAAAACTATATTAAAAATATAGAAAAGGGTATGACGAAATTATTTTGAGGAGGTTTCAGCAGGCATTTATATCATGTAACAAAAAACCAGTATTTTCCTTAAGCTGAAGAACATTAGTTTCATGCAATGAATCATAATTATTTAGTCTTTTTCTTATTGTAGTATCAACAATAATGTTTGCTATTTCTATTACTTGAATATTTATATCAGCAGCTACCATCAGAATACTTAGTTTTAATACTTAAATACTTGATTTAGATGTTAATTAGAAATTTAAAAATTGTTAAAAGCTATCAACCATTTGAGTATATGGTAACTTTAAAGCTAAAATTCTGTATATTTATAAGTTTTGGTTATTTTTATAGCTTTGAGAACCTTGAAAACCATTAGCATCAAGAAGACATTTTGACAATTATTGACAAGAACATTTTCATTTCTTATGCTTCTGGTTGGTTGATGTAATGTATTATTTTTTTAAACTAAAAAATGCTAATTTTTTTGTTTTTAAAGTTCAGAATTAGTTCACATCATACAAAAGGATCAGTCCAACTAAATTAAATAAAAACTAAACAAAAACTAAACAAAAAAACTGATTGACTGAAAATGAACAGACCTACTTATTTAGGTTTATTTTTTATATATATGCAAATAGCAATAGTTACTACAATTCTAAACATGAACTGTAAAATAATAATCAATGATCTTATACAATTTATCTAAAACTTGACTCCTATTACTCTTGCTAGGTCAAAAATTTTATAGTTTAAAAATATATGATTAAAACTTTATACATGTCTTTGAATGCATGTTATTAACTAAAAATAGGACGCAATTTTAGCTATGTTTTATAAATCTTCTATAAATTGTATCACATTTAAATAGTTATTCTTTAAATTAAAATCTTATCTGTATATTTTTATAGATTAGAATATTCTTTTATCAGAATTTGGAATTTTGCCAGTTTTTAAAATAATTATATTAAGTATATCAATTGAATAATAATGAATAACATTATCAAGAATTTGTTAATAAATAGCTATTATATCAAAATTAGTATTATAGAGAAGTTGTTTTTTAAAATTTATTTGAAAATTTAAAAGATTATTAACAATTTTGTCAAATATCCTATATGTCTTTTATCAGATCATTTATACTAAAAAACCTGTAGAAAATATTATTTTTTTTATCATCTGCTTTTTCTTCTAAAAGAATTAGCATTTACATTTGAAATACCATTATAAGTATTATAGAAAACTTTTTTGTGTGATATCAAAAATATTTTCGTATGTAAAAATTTTTTTTAAAATCAATATTATCAAAAACTACTAAATTCTATATATCAGCCTTTTTAATAATTTTTTAGTTAAATTAATTTTGGCCATTTTTATTTTTTTAATCAGCGTTCATTACTACTTATATGAAGAGTAGATTAAAGTTGTCAAAATAAAAAAAAAAGATATGATTTTTAAAATATACTAAACATTATCTGAGTAAATCAAATACTAAGATAGGAAATATTATATTCATAATAAGTAAAATGATAAACATTACATATTTGATAATATGCTTAATATCTAATTATTTAAAGGATTTCACATTATTTTCATTTTATATTTAAATTTATTAATATTTTTAAAAATTTTACCAATGATTCTATCAAAAAAAACTTATTAAAAATTTTAAAAAACTTTTATAATATGTATTAAGAAAAATTGATAATTATATTTCTGATTTTTTTCTATAATTATTTTATATAAATTTAATTATACTTCTGAGTTTTTCTATAACTATTTTATATAAATTCTATACTTTATTTCTTAATTTTTCACCAATTTCTTTTTATTTATCATTTATCTAATCTTATTTTGATTGTATAATATCTATTATACAGACCTCCGCCAAAAGTCTCTGAACATTATCTTTTGGCTATTTCATACCAAATACATCGTATGACTGTATAATACTGTGGTCATGTAATGTACCTGATCTTATTTGCTTGAATCAAAACTAAATAAAAGCGTATTTGGTTTGTTTATTTTGATTTTTAACTAAAATAAAATTTACCTTCTGAAAATCACGAAAATGTTCAAAGAACAACGTGGCAGTATATATTTTGCCGTCAACGTGGCAATAGTTACCGGGCTATTACCACAAATATCGGTTGTAGATTTTTAATAGCATTTAGAACTTTAAAAAGAATAGATGACACTGGAACTGTTAATTCGAGGCTTCGTTCTGGTCGACTATCCTTAATTAAAGATTCGTAGCAAAGTCAGCTGAAGTGATTTGTTACAGCGAATTCAGGCTGTGATGAAGCAAATAAAGGCCTGACCAAGTACTAATTATTTAGTACCAAATGTGTAGCATATTGTACATTAATAAATAAATTAATAAATTTTTTAATAAACTTTAAAATTTTAATTTTTACATTGAGCCAAAAAGCGTTCAGAGACTTTTAGCGGGAGTCTGTATAATTTATATTTAATAATAATTTTAAAAGAAAGTAACTAGGCAATTTAAGTAAAGTTTAATTAAAGATTTCATTGAATCATTAATATTATTTGAATTTTATATGTTAATAAGTTTAAATAGCATATGTTATTTTTAGGATTATAATATTTATATTTTAAAAAATTTCAAATGAAATATATAAAAAATTTAAAGCTAAAACTAATATAGAAGCAAAAATTATTTTCTTTTTTCTTCTATTTTAATATCTTCTATGCATATAAGAAGATTTCTAGAAAAATCAGATTCTGAAAAATTTTTGATTAAAATTAAGAGTTTAATATATTTTAATCTAATAATACCAAAAAATTAAAATGTAATAAAAATCTTAATTTTGTTAAAAAATTCCTGAAATCTAATTTTTCTAATAATTAATTTATACAGTCATATCTTGATATAATAAAATTAGCAATCTAGCTGATTAGGCTTTTATTATAAGAATCTTCATTAACACTATAATGAATTATTCAATATGTATAATGAATAATTCATTATAGTATTAACAAATTATTCATTATAGTACACTACCCTATAATAAATTACCGGATTTTATAAATTTTACTTAATAATTTATAGTAAAATTGAAGATCTTCAAGTTATATAAATGTTT